GTCGGGCGCCCGACGGTGGATCTCTTCGCAACCCCAGCGAACGCCCAGCTGCCGAAATTCGTATTGAGGTTCCCGTCCAGGGGAGCCATGGACACGGACGCCCTTCGATGCAGATGGCCACCAGGTCTTCTCTACGCCTTTCCTCCCCTTCCCCTCATCCCCAGGGTTCTGAGGAAGTTAGTGTCAGAGGGAGCAAAGATGATTCCAGTGGCTCCTTTCTGGCCACGCCATCCCTGGCTAGCAGACCTGGTGGAGCTGTCCTCAGCTCCTCACTGGAGGATTCCTCAGTGGGAGGTATCCTTGCACCAGGGGTCCCTGGAGCATCCGGATCCGGAGTGGCTCCATCTGACTGTCTGGCGATTGAGCGGGAACAGCTGAGAGGGGCACATTTTTCCACAAAGGTGGTTAAGACCGTCGAGGCGTCCAGGAGGCAGTCCACCACTCGTATCTACAATGCCTCCTGGGTTGCTTTCGCGGACTGGTGTCAAGCTAGGGACATCGTCCCAGCTTCGGCTTCTGTGCCCCAGGTTCTGGACTTCCTACAGGAAGGTCTGGAAAAAGGTCTGGCCCCCAGCACCCTTAGGAGACAGGTCTCTGCTCTCTCCACGGTCCGGGGGTGGTGGTGGATGCACCACCTTTGTCCCAACATCCGGTCCTACGGCGCTTCATTAAGGGAGTGACGAATCTGAAACCCCCAGTGGTCCATCGATTCCCTACTTGGGACCTACCCACGGTCCTCCAGGCATTGACGGAGGCACCATTCGAACCCCTGAGGGAAGTTTCCCTACAATTCCTGACCCTTAACGTCGTCTTCCTGGTTGCCATCACTTCAGCCACGAGAGTATCTGAAATCAACGCTCTTTCCAGCAGAGTGGACCTCTGCACCTTTCTGGAGAACCTGGTCATCCTCAGACTGGACCCCGCGTTCATGCCCAAGGTCAATTCTCCCTTTCACAGGGCATTAGAGATAGTTCTGCCGGACTTCTGTCCACAGCCCTCCAGGGATAGGGAAATTTCTTGGCATAGGTTGGATGTCAGAAGAGCCTTGCGCATCTATCTAAAGCGCACGGCGCCCTTTAGGCGTTCAGAAGCCCACTTCGTATCCTTTCAGCCATCCACCCAGGGAGCCAAGATTTCCCCGGCCACCATCAGCAGGTGGATCAGAGCGGCCATCTCAAAGGCCTACGAGGCACGGGGACTTCAGGTCCCAGAGGGCATCACAGCGCATTCCACCAGAAGTGCGGCCACCTCAGCAGCCTGGGGCACCCAGGCTCCCTTTGAGGAGATCTGCCGGGCTGCTGCCTGGTCTTCTCCCTCGCCTTTCATCAAGCATTACCGGCTAGACGCTTTCGCCTCTGCAGAAGCAGCCTTTGGAAGGAGGATTCTGCAGAGAGTCCTAGACTCTTGAGGGGTTCAGGCCCATTGATCCCTCCCAAGACATCTAGCTTTGGTATGTCCCATTGGTTACTCCTCCCACGCCTCACTTCGGAAACTGGCAGTTGGTCTTACCTGAACTGCATGTTTAGAAGGTGGTGTGGGAGGAGTCACTTCCTCCCTTTTTTCCAGTGCACAGCGCCAGGGGCCTGAGTTAGTTCAGTGGTCAGGCAGGACCAGGCAGGAAGGATGTGTACTTGTGCTGTCTCTGTCCCTTCCTTCCAGGTGCTCTGCTATGAACCATCGGTTAATCTGGGAGGTCAGCAGGAGGATCGGAGGTGTGGCGTGAAGATTTACCTCAGTCTCCAGGGCAAAGGGGCTGGGTTAATACCCATGTGTTCTGCCAATTACATCCCTGCGACCAATAAGATCCCATAGACTAGGCCTCCTCCGTATTCCAT